TCTTCCAACAGCCAGGTCTTAGGGTCGAACAATTCGGCATCGGAATTTCCCGCTCCATGCCTTCAGCATGTTTGACTGCTGTACCTTTTTTCTTTTGACTTCTCGTGTCGCGGAACACGAGAATCCTGGAAATCCCTAATTTAACGAAATTAGGCGACGGCTCTTAAGACTTGGCTGACAATAAGCCCGAGGGCTCCACGTGGTCCGCATACGTTGGAAGCCTCAGGCCCTCGCTAGGGGCCATAAACGGCCGATGGGGTTACTAGCGCGCGGGTGGACCCCACGTACCTCACCTTGGAGGAGAGGGTTTCCTCCACTATCGTCTACATTTTGGTGGAACCTTCCCTTCCTCCAAGGTGACCGATTCGCGGACCAAGGGAACGCCCTTGGTCAAATCAGCTAATTATATTTGGCGAGCTCCCGATTTTTCCTGAGACCGAGGAAAATTCTTCTTAGGAAGATCGAGGAGCTCACTTCCTTTCGAATCATCGAAGACAGCACTTCTCTCCGAGTCGTCAGAGACATCAATTCGCTTCGAATCGTCGAAGACACCAGTTTGCTTCGAATCGTCGAAGACACGACTTCTTTTTGCTCGTGCAACTGAAACAGTTGCCCAATATTAATTCGGTGGGCAACATTGCGAGATTGCGAGACGAATTTACAACCCGTGCGAATACATCAAAAGATTCTATCGCGACGCAACAGCAGGCAAACGTCAGAGTTCAAAACATCTTACTCATTCCTACCTGGATTAAGGACAAAGTATCATTTTCACCCTTCCAAACAGTAAGAATATATAAGCACCTCTGAAAGCTGTACGAGGTAGTTATTATTCTTCTTTACCGATACATAGTTATTGCATTTTCCGACGTAGTCTCGTTGCAGAACTCGTATTGTATATAGAAGTGTTCCGAAATATATTGCAAAAGATTAATCGGTTTATAACGTTCTCAATCCGGATTCCATAATATCCATCTGCTTTCGGTAAAAATTATACCTAATTCTGTTCAAATAGGGTCACAATTACGCATGCTCTTTTATTTGCGTTATACCATATTAATTAATTCCAATTGTATGCATTATATTTAGGTATACATTACAGGCTGGTAATTTTAGTGTTAAAACTAAACATAGCAGACACAGATAATAGTAATCTTAGTAGTACGACGAAGACAAATAAATATATTAATTACAGTTCTACCTCAATATGTACCAACGCTAATTTTTTGAAAAGCAGGTACATGTTTTCAGTTTCAATGGCAGAAAGAAAAATTCTGAGACCAGTCATTTTGGTTGAATTGGTAGTTCTATCATTAATCCTTCTCTTATTAAAAGTGACTGTAACTGTCGAGTGCAAGTGAAAACTCGTGTACAGGTTGTGCGAAAATTAAATCTCACGACCATCGCTAATTGTAAATGATTCTACATCTTCAAATCGGTGAAAATCTGTTTTAAAAAGGTAGCAGCTAAATTGTACTTGAGTACGATTTTCAAAAACAAATAGGCATAACGAAAAAATGTTTAAAAAATATCATTGGTGTTGAATGAACCATTCTCTGAAGAAATTAACTGCAAATGTTTTGTCTTATCTCGTAGAGACGCACAAGGTTACTGCTCGATCAATATTTTTCTGGTATCAAGTTTACTCGATACATGTGTCGAGTATGTATCGAGTTTGATGTCACGCTTAAATTTCACTCATTACGCGTATCCCATTCGATGCAAGTATCAGGTAAACGCCACGTTACTGGGAAAAAATTGACGGGGCGATCATACTATGCGTTCCCGCGCAATAAGTCAAAATATTTGCAATTAATTTTTTCAGAAAACGCTTGATTTACGACACAGAGTTCGTTTTACTAGAATTTCGTTTCTTTTAAACTTTAAACGTGCACGATTTAAATTAAATTTTGGGTTTTAAGTTTAAATTTAATATTGTAGAATACCATTGGATCAAAAATTCGGAGTTAGGCTCACTGAGGAACCATTTCGCTTCCACTGAGAAATATTAGTTTAGCATACCACAATTCTAAAAGAGGACTTATCTTTTTAGTAATTTAATATTGTAGGATACCATTTCGAAAGAAATCACGAATCGGCCATTGCCAACAAAAACAAATTATACACCGATCAGTATTTTCTAGAAGCAAATGGAAAAGTTATTTTGGGAAGCAAAATTAAGTTGCGGGGTCCCTACGAGGAGGTGAAGCGTAGATGAAGGAAAGCATAAAAACATGGTCCTTGACGACCAAAACAGAGTCCTTAGAAATCAATTGTGACCAGCATAAGTGTGAGTCGCTTTGTGCTGGAAAGAGAGTTAAATTAGAGTGCGTCTTTGTGTGTTTTCGTTTCGTTATCTTGGTGTTCTTTTCCTAAGTTAAATTAGTTTTATGAGTTTTGAGTTTGTGTTATTTTGTTCTCGCTGTTTTGTCAATTTTTGATATCTCAAAACCAGTTTTGCCATCCTTCAACGTTCACTCGGATAATTCTAAATATATCGGACCCTCTGGTTTTGTTTATAATAATCTTTCTATTCTGCACACTCAGCAGAGGACATTGCTGTTACGAAACGATTCTTTTCATTAATCACACAAATATCGCAAAAATGATAGTAGTCACCCAACATCGAACACTTCCCGCGTATTGAGAATAATATTCGTTTATTAATGTATCACATTTATCACCGCGCTCTGTTATTCAATTAGATTCAGTTATTTTGAAATTTGTTTGTTTATTATGCGTTACATATTCTTCGACTGCTGATTGTTAGAGGTTATGTACACGTGGACAATCATTTAAATAAAGTTCAATGGATGGACGTCGTTTCTTTTAATACGATTAATCTATGTTTGAAAAGCATCTTATCGATATTGCATGTAATTGCTTTTGTTTCTTCATCACTGGAATATTCGTTATAGGTTAGTTAAGAAAATCGTATAAGAAAATCGATACTCGATCATTGCACGAAGTGTGCATGAAGTGGATAAAAAGTGTCGCCATCTAACGACTCTTCATACCAGTTAAAAGAGTAACACAGCGGAGACTATAGTGACTTAACCTCAAATGGATAATTGTTTAGAAAAGGGGAAATCTCATCGATTTCGATGATTTTTAAATATGTCGTACAAATCAACATTTTGAACAATTTTCTCCTGTGTATATAACCGCCTCTCGGCCTCAGTTTTTAAGATTTTTGCAAAATATTATTGCTAC